GCTTTGCTCCCGGTGTCCCTGGTCTGCTGGAGACGGTCCCCAGCAGACCAGGGACACCGGGAGCAAAGCCCCCAGCAAAGCCAGAGCAAAGCCTCAGAAGCGCGGGACCCCTCCGCCTCCCCGGCTTTGCTCCAGGTGTCCGTGGTCTGCTGGAGACGGTCCCCAGCAGACCACGGGCACCCGGAGCAGCTTTTCTCGCCCCGGAGGTCGAGGTGGCGGGACCGCTGCACTCTGGGCGGTCCCGCTGCCTGCGCGCTCCGGGGCGAGAGAGACCCGTTCGTAAGTGCGGATCCGACATAAGTCGGATCCGCGTAACTCGGGGACTGCCTGTATACTACTCCAAACCCAGTAGAATAGTGCTGGGAAAACACTGCAGGGGTGTATTTAGATCTATTGATTGTAGGTTCTTTACAACTTTATATGCTCTAAGTCTAATTTTTTAATTAAAAGTACCATAGAGTTCTCTTAATATCTATGTGTTTTAATGATTTTGTGTGCCACATAAGACTCTATCATTGCTTTGTCTTGCTAGATTGTCATTCCCAAACCTGCATTTTATTTGTTGCTTTTTATCTATCACACACTCACTGGCCTGTACAAAACTTAAGTTAACTTAAACTGTTAAACTAACAGAAGGATGAAGAGGAGTCCTTAAAAATTCTCTTACAAGCCTGCATATGAATTAATTTCAGTAAATTAAATTAAAAGTAGGAAATTAGAAATCTAAAGGGATGTTGATGTATTGTTTCAAATAACAGATTACCTTGCCAGAAATGTTTAGAGAATGGACAGTGGTCCCAATTCAGGATTGCATTAAGCACATGTGTCAGAGAGGTAACTGTGTTAGTCTGTAGCCGCAAAAACAACCAGGAATCTTGTGTCTCCTAAAAGACTATCAGATTTATGTGGGCAAAAACCCAGAAAGCTTTTATGCCCATGAAAGCTTATACCTGAATAAATCTAGTAGTCTTTAAGGTGCCACCGGACTTCTTGTTGACTAAGCACATGTTCCACTTTAAGCATATGCCATAATGTTGTCCTAAATAGGGGCTGGCTTAAGCAAGTGTTTATATATTTTCTGAAATGGGGTGAGTGTTTCTTGTGGCATCATGACATTTAATAGCATGAGAAGAATGGGGTAAATAACTTCCCTGGAATATCTGGAATGATACCAAATTGTATAAGAAAATACCAGCTTTCATAGTCTTTTGAAAGTTATCATATATATAGTAGCCCAATGTCTGTGACTCTGTAACGCTGAAATGCTGGCTGTTCTTTCTGGGTGGCGCTGTTGCCTCCCACCGCGGCACTCGGCTGATTTCTGCGCCGTTCAGCCCTGTGCTGCATGGGGAGCGCAGACCCCAAATGGCCGCTTGCACCATGTGCCCCCACGCGGCAGCTTGGCTGAGGAGCGCAGAAGTCAGACGAGTGACATGGCAGGAGGCAACAGTGCTGCCCAGAGGTAACAGCTGGAGGGGGCAGGGCCTGGACGAGCATGCGTCTCTGAAGTCAGGAAAGGGCACCGGATTCAAAAAGAGGAAAGCGGAGTAGACGCAGAGGATGTGGAGGAGACCGAGAAGAGAATGGAGGAGGCGGAGGACAGCCAGAGAGTGAGTGAGAGAGATGCAGCAGGAGGAGGAGAAGAGAAAGAGAGAGAGATGGAGAGAGAGGCAGGAGGCGGCTGAGAGCTGAGAGAGATAGAGAGAGAGGGTGAGGCAGTAGGAGGAGAAGAGAGAGGGAGGCCGTTTGCGCCGCTTCCTCCCACGTGGCGGCCTGGCTGAGCGGTGCAGAAGTCAGCTGAGCACCACAGCGGGAGGTGAAGGGGGCGGGGCAGTGATGTACACGCCCAGGGGACGGGGCCTGGATGAGCATGCATCTCCGACAGAAACAGAGGAGAGCAGAGAGAGTGAGAGGCACGAGGGGGAGAAGAGAAAGAGAGAGACGGAGAGAGAGGTAGAAGGTGGGGGAGAAAGGTGGGGAGGCAATAGGAGGAGGAGAGAGATTGACATAGAGAGACGGAGCGAGAGACCGGAGGCTCAGGAGAGAAGACCGACGTGGAGGAGAGACCTGAAAATCCTGTCTTATGACGGGCTAATTGGCTAATATTATGAGAATAACCAAAGCCCACGAGTTTTTAGCATACATCAGGGGTGGGAAATACTGGCTCGCAGGCCAGACCCGGTACACCAGGGCTCTGCCCCAGCCAATGGGAGCTGCAATGACCCATGCCTGCAGAGGCGCAGATAAATATAGAGGCCTGCCAGAAGCTAGCCTTGGCGAACCGCCGCTGTTTTATTGCCCATCTCTGGTATACAAACTAATTTTCTCAGAGCATCATAATACTTTGTGATTTTAAATACTTTAAAATACTTTGAATAGCTGGCTCAAAGGAGAACGTGGCCCTAGATGGTTTGTATAGGTCATAGTACAGTGGGATCCAACATTGAAATTGTAATATGAATACTAAATATTATTCATAAAACTTTTCAAATAAGAGATTGATTTAAATTAAAGCAGAGTAAAACAGAAATAACTCCACCAACGCCAAGGAAGTTATGCCAATCTGCAGCTGAGAGACTATCATAGCAGGGCTCTTGTTGCTATAAATTCTGCGTTTTTTTCTTTTGTTTTGTTTTGCCAGTGATATTAGCATGAAAATATTATTATTTTTAGGAGTACATCTGTTCTTTCTGCTCACTCCTCAACAAAAATCTTAATACTCTTGTGAAATAAACAGGATGGGGAGTGGAATATGTCATGTGTTATCAAAGTGGTCAGGGTGACAGCTGCCATATGCCATGCTTATCTCATATATTTCAGCTTCTTATGTTACTTAACCCTATATCTAGCCGCTACAGCTTTGATTTTCATTAACTCTGGTACTTTAACTATTGCTTGTTTTGCTATTTATATATTTTTTTCAAAAACCTTATTACATTAGTCTTTATATTTAACACTCATGTATGAATGAGTTTGCAGGCCAAAGATACAGTACTGATGTCAGAACTTCATGGACTGTGAAGCTCTGCTAACTCCTGCTGCTAAGGCAGTTAGGAAACTGATCTCTTTTAACACGTATGCTTGGGATGCTTCTGCTGACAGCAAGCAAGGTTTGCAGCATAGTGCTGGCCAGGTGTTAGTGGGACCCAGAGTCCCCTATGTTTCCTCTGTGGTTTATTTATACTGATTTGTGGGAAGCTATACTGAACTTCGAGATCCATGGATGGCAAGTGTATGAAAAGTGTCAGCAGCAATAATAACTGTAGAGAAAACTCAAAAATTGGCTAAGACAAAGGGGTCCCTGACTGTCATCCAGAAGATTCATACCACTGTATAGTGATATCCTGGAATAATGCATCCTAGGTTGTACGCATACCTGGAAAAGTAGCAGATTTTTAAACAGTTTTTCCTATGGCATTTTAGAGCATGACTGAGCTGAGTGCATTCAGCAGCATACCAATAAATCTGACCTAGCTCAATCCTGAGTTTCTCTTTGCAGTTGACCTTTGGTATATGTTATGTGGCAGAACCTTTGCAGAAATCACAATGCAGAATACATAAACTTGGGTATGTGTTTAGTCTTTGATATTTCTAACAGCAATCTATCACCTGTTTTTTATTTTAGTCAGGTGGCTTTGCATCCATTTTCATTGAAGACATGCACGCTAATGTGCCACCGGTAAGTTTTTGTAACGTAATTTTTCTTTTATGTATTGGTTATTCTTTCTGTCCACATGTGATTATGGTCATCACCATAGAATCAGAGCATCTTCCAAATGATCAGTCAGATTAAATGTTCTCTACATTCCTTTCTATGTAGTGGAAAGTCACATGGTTTTATGTATATATTGCAGTTACATAGACGTATACAGGCAGTCTCCGGGTTACGTACAAGATAGGGACTATAGGTTTGTTCTTAAGTTGAATTTGTATGTACGTCGGAATTGGCTCCAGATTCAGCCGCTGCTGCTGAAACTGACCAGGGGCTGACTACAGGTTTCAACAGCAGCTGAATCTCGAGCCTGGGACAGAACAGCTGGGCTGCCAGGTAGGTCCCTGCAGGACCAACCCGGCAGCACCCCAGCTGCTCTACCCCAGGGTCCACAACAAAAGCCTGGTCTGCTGGGGAGGGGCGCACTAGCTGTGCCCCCCCGATTCAGCCGCTGCTGCTGAAACTGACCAGGGGCTGACTACAGGTTTCAACAGCAGCTGAATCTCGAGCCTGGGACAGAACAGCTGGGCTGCCAGGTAGGTCCCTGCAGGACCAACCCGGCAGCACCCCAGCTGCTCTACCCCAGGGTCCACAACAAAAGCCTGGTCTGCTGGGGAGGGGCGCACTAGCTGTGCCCCCCCCC